ATAGAATAGAATAGAATAGAATAGAATAGAATAGAATAGAATAGAATTCTTTATTGGCCAAGTGTGATTGGACACATAAGGAATTTTGTCGGTGTAAATACTCTCAGTGTACATAAAAGAAAAGATACATTCGTCAAGAGTCAAGAATCATAAAGTACAACGCTTAATGATAGTCATAGGGTACAATAAGCAATCAAATCATACTAGGAAACAGTCAATATAGATCGTAAGGATACAAGCAACAAGGTTACAGTCATACAGTCACAAGTGGGAGGGGATATAATAAGGAGTGATGAGAAGATTAACAGTAGTAGTAGTGCAGACTTTGTAATAGTTGAACAGTGTTGAGGGAATTATTTGTTTAGCAGAGTGATGGCATTCGGGGAAAAATTGTTCTTGTGTCTAGTTGTTCTGGTGTGCAGTGCTCTATAGCATCGCTTTGAGTGCAGGAGTTGAAACAGTTTATGTCCAGGATGTGAGGGGTCTGTAAATATTTTCACAGCCCTCTTTTTGACTGGTGCAGTATACAGGTCCTCAAGTGAAGGTAGCAATTTTTTTTCCTGCAGTCCTAATCATCCTCTGAAGTCTGTGTCTGTCCTGTCGGGTTGCAGAACCAAAACAGACAGTTATAGAGGTGCAGATGACAGACTCAATAATTCCTCTGTAGAACAGTATCAGCAGCTCCTTGGGCAGCTCCTTACAGCCCAGACAGTCCTTGACTGGCGACCCTCCATTTAGCAAGAGTCGGAATTTACAGTGGCACTGAACAAAGCGATTTAGGACTGATCCTTGCACTTATGACCATTGCAGCATTTTCAGAGACACATGAAAAAAATTCAGGTACTTGGCTGCAGCATCCCCAGGGGTCATGCAATCACCATTTGTGACTTTCAGCTTCCAACAAACAAAGTAAATGGGAAGAAGCCGGATTTGCTTAAGGACCATACGATTCATTGAACAATTGCAGTGATTTGCTTGGCAACCGTAGCAGAAAAGGCTGTAACATTGGGTGCGATTCACTTAACAACCAGCGTGCTTAGCCATGAAAATTTCTGGGCCCCATTGTGGTTGTAAGTCAAGGACTACCTGATCCCATGACCCTTAGGACATTGCAACCATCATAAATGGGAGTCAGCTGTCAAGCATCCAAATGTAAATCATGAGACCATGGGGATGCTGCAACGGTCATAAGTCTGAAAAATGGTCATTAAGTCACTGTTTTCAGTGTCGTTGAAACTTCAAATGGTCATTAAGTGAATTGTGAGTTGAGGACTACCTCTATAAACATTGCTGATCTGTTTGCAATAAACTACATATGCCCCCACAAAAAATAGCGTCAACAATCTGTATCTGATAGGGACATGAAAGAAAATATTTCAAAAAAGATTATTCTAAAGCAGGGGTCTCCAACCTTGGCAACTTTAAGACTTATGGACTTCAACTCCCAGAATTCCTCAGCCAGTTTTGCTGGCTGAGGAATTCTGGGTGTTGAAGTCCACAAGTCTTAAAGTTGCCAAAGAGACCCCTGTTCTAAAGTGCTGTGACAGGATAAGGGCGTCCCACAATCACCATTCAATTCAGTTGTAATTGAATTACAGTTCCCAGCATTCCATTCCATTGGCATGCAGACCAGGGCTGCTGGAAGATGGTCCAACACCTGGAAAGCACCACACTTTTCCCTCCTGAATATAAAGCAAAAATGTCCCGTCACACCCCACACACACACCCTGATATTCTGCAGGTCAAGGCTAGAGCACAAGTTACAGAAGGGGTTTTTTGATTAAACTTCAGGAATAACTTAGTGGTGGTGAGTGCAGTTGGACAGTAAAAACACAAGTCAGAGCTTTTCAGGCTGAAGCCTGGCACTTATCTGCTAGCTTTGGATATTTTTCATCAGACAAGCAATGGACTACAAACCAGCATCATGATTATATATGGTCCTATACAGGGGTGGGATTCAAATTTTTAACAACCGGTTATGTGGGCATGGCTTAGTTGGTGGGCATGGCTTGGTGGTCATATTATTGGCTGGGTGTGGCCAACTCAATATCACTCACATTGAAGCACGCATCTCCTCGCCTGGCCTCTCATGACTGTGGGGATGCTGCAACAGTCGTAAGTGTGAAAAATGGTCATAAGTCACTTTTTTCAGTGCCATTGTAACTTTGAATGGTCACTCCACACAAGCAAAGTACCAGCAGAGGGGGGAAACCTCCACAGAAGTTCCAGAGACAGGAAGTCTAGTCCTGCCAAGAATGTAATAAGGGTTAACGTAGAGGCAGTTTCTGCAAGCAACACCAGAATGTTTCCTTCCTGCCTTCCTTACAGGACTAGGCCAGTAATTTCTTCTAACAACCGGTTCTCCGAACTGCTTAGAATGCTAACAACCGGTTCTAGCGAATAGGTGCGAACTGGTAGAATCTCACCCCTGGTCCTATAAGAATTGTATATAATCTAAATGTCTTTTAGATTAAATCCAACATTAATGTTGATTAGGAATTATAGAAGCTGTTCTAAAATATCTGGAAAGCACAACACTGTCTACTGTTGCTATGACGTAATGCTAATTTGCTAAAGATCCTCTGAGACCAGCAAGAAACTATGGTATCATGAGTCTGTGAACAGTGGGAAGTGATGCAGAATGTGGCAGTTCAGGCAGTTCTTGGGGCTCCTAAGTGGCCCATGTTACACTGCAGTTCCACAAACTGCATGGCTGCAACTTTGCTTCTGGATAACCGAGGTGTTGGTTATCCACAACCCTTCTGAGGAACCGTGATGCCAGTGATGGGATTAAATTTTTTTTACTACCGGTTCTGTGGGTGTGGCTTTGTGGGCATGGCAGGGGAAGGATAGTGTAAAATCTCCAGTCAGAGGTGGTATTTGCTGGTTCTCCAAACTACTCAAAATTTCCACTACCGGTTCTCCAGAACCACTCAGAATCTGCTGAATACCACCTCTGGAACCATCTTACTGTAAAGGAACTGGCCTGCCTGACCCAAGCCAGCAAAAGGGGCATGGTGCAGACTCCAACAATCAAGGAATTTCAGCTGGTGGGATCCAAGAAGACAGTTTTCTGTCCTATGGCTCCTCCCCACCCCCAAAGTGAGATCCGCACCCACCCTTCTGACCCACCCTTCTGCAAGCACCTGGGTTCTTCCAGTTAACCTTTGGGGGTGCATCATGCTGGAGGTGACTGGCAGTTTAAGACAAGCCCCCCCTCTTCTCACCCCACTGTGTGCATCCTGATCCTTTCCCCTCCATCTTTTTAATTGTAAATTATTGCTAGTATTAAGACGATTTATTATGTGCATGTTTTATTGGCCTTTAATGTTTATAAAAAAGTGGGGGGGGACACAGTAGCTCAGTGGCTAAGACGCTGAGCTTCTCAACCAGAAAGGTCGGCAGTTCGGCAGTTCGAATCCCTAGCATTGTGTAACGGAGTGAGCTCCCGTTACTTATCCCAGCTTCTGCCAACCTAGCAGTTCAAAAGCATGTAACAATGCAAGTAGAAAAACAGGGACCACTTTGGTGGGAAGGTAACAGCGTCCTGTGTACCTTTGGCATTTAGCCACATGACCACGGAGACATCTTTCGACAGCGCTGGCTCTTCAGCTTTATAACGGAGATGAGCACCGCCCCCCAGAGCCAGAAACGACCAGCACGTATGTGCAAGGGGAACCTTTACCTTTACCTTAATGTTTGTAAACCACCAGAATTCCTGTAGGAGAGATGGGTGGCAAAAAGATCCAATAAATAAATAATCAATGGTCAGTAGCCCTTAGAAAATATGTTGTTTGTTCGCCCACGTAGTTCCATAAAAAATTCTGAGAAGGGATACAGAAAGAAAACATAGTGCACATTTTGAAACCTGCCTTCATGCTCAACCTGTTTTTCTACCTAATTCTAGCTACCTTTTGCTGTCATACCTGTTCTCACTTTCACCAGCATGGAACCTCTCATGAAGGATTTTGTCAACGGGATGTAAGTAGCTCAGCTGGGATGGGGACTCCTTGGTGGTTCTGAGAACCATTTCTATCTTAAACTTGTACTGTTGAACCTGCCACAGAACCACAGTGCCCAGATCTCCATCTTTATTTCAAAGTTGAATTTAGTCAGGCTTGCTTGTTCTTCCATATAAACAACTTTTTCATTAGGTGGTTCTATAAATAGAAGATGCTCAGGAGGTGTTCCTGTCATGTCAAGCTTAACCCCTGGGGACTATGTGGATAGGTCCATCCTTTTTTGGCAATAAGAAATCACAGTACACAGAGGCATTAGTTATGCTGATTATAGTATTTAGAGGATTGTGTGGTTTCCTTTTCTATAAAGACAAAAATGAAAGAAATCAAGGTAGGAAGTGTTCTAAGAAGAGGGAAAGTCTTCTACTCGCCACAGAGATTAATCATTTTCACTCTAGGTGATTTGGCAGATGTAGCTCCGAAAACGTGGTTGAGATGGAACTGCTTCAATAACCCGGATCCGTGTATTTTCTCTCCTCTTGTTTTCTTAGCATTGGAAAATTTCTAATGATCCTGATCACTGGATTAATCTGTGCAATCAATTTATACTTTGTGGTGACCAGCATCATAACCTTGAACTATCTGGCCTACTACATTGCCATATCATTCGTGCTCCTCGCTTACGCGGCCTTCGTCTGCTACCTGGTAGGACGCTTGTATGCAAATCGGGCATCATCCATATCGGTGGTTTATCCCCAAATTGGATTTAACAGTTCTAGGGATTACCTATTCAAACAGATAAGATTGTGGAATCTAGTGCATTAAGCTGTTCCTAATGCAAAATCTCTAGAGTGGCAGCTGAATTTCAAAGCTTGACACAGAGAAGATAATCAGTGACCTGAGTCGGAGTGATGAAATAGCTGATGCCTGTTTATCCTGACTATTCAGTCAGCTCAGCTCTTTCTCTTCCCCCATTCCTTATCATAACTAAAATTGGTGTTATATAAAGATAAGTGTTTATGAAGCAATAGAATGACATTTCTGGAGAGGACACAGAAATGGGCTGAAATTGTATAACTTGCTAAGCTATACATAAATGTGGTTTGACTTTAGCACAGCATGTTATGCCAAATTCAATAGGCCACTTTTAAGCAAATCACAGCTTAGCACAACTTCTGGAACTGATCTAATGGTCCCAGGGACACGATATCCCCTTAAATAAGTACCTTGTGGGGGGAAAATGAACTCAAGCCTATCTCTTGGGCGAAGATGTTAGCTGAGAATTCTGAGAATGGTCACTCCAATGTATCTGAAGGGCAAAAGCTTGAAGACAAACTTAAGAACATAAGAGAATTGTTATGGGGGAAAATGGGCTAGTCACACAGGGACATTATTCCAGGCAGATGGAGAACATAAGGAAGGTTCTTAGGCTTGACGGTCAAAACCAAGGGTCTCCAAACTTAGCCACTTTAAGACTTGTGGACTTCAACTCCCAGAATTCCCCAGCCAGCATGGCTGGCTTGGGAATTCTGGGAGTTGAAGTCCACATGTCTTAAAGTGGCCAGGTTTGAAGACCTCTGGTCAAAACTCTCCCTCATTTATTTATTTAATATTCATATATGGCCACCTGTCTCATATACATGACTATACCGTAAAAATACAAGCAACTTGTTCTTGGATTTTGTCATCTCTCTCACCATTCTAGATTTGGACCTGTCTCATTTCACATGGAGCTGCCTTCCTGGCTCGTGGGCCCCATACTCGGTTCAGTTATGGACTGCAGTGATAATACATCCCACTCATCACCACTGGAAGCTGATGAATCATCACTATGTCTCCCCAACAAAACAGGAAGCAGCTGCTCTTGGGGAACTGCCAGGAAGCAAAGGTGTCAGAAGCAGAGTTTCTGTTGGCAAAGGATGGACTCAGCATCAGTAATGATCACTCAGCACAGTGCCTGCTTTGCAGGCCAAAAGTTCCAGGGACAATTTCTGGCATTCCTAAAGAACCTTCAGACTTGGAATGGCTGTGGTGTAACTTCCAGAGACGTTTCAAGACTTGATGCACTCTTGTTTTTGTTTGTTTTTTTAAATTCTGACAACACGTAGCAAGTTAGGGGGGAAAACAGTGTAAAGAAAGAACTATAAAGTATTCTAGATACTCATGATCAAATGTACACACCTTCTACCAGCTTCAGACCCAGATCAGCTTTGGGTGGAACATCAAGACATCCATTTTAATAATGGTTGGGGAGCAGTCCTTTTTGTGGGGGAGGTGAGTTTAGGAGCTTAAGGAATGGGGGTAAAGACATGAACGTTTGATTCCACCATTGGTGAGGCCACAAAGGAATGCTGGAAGAATCCACACATCCCTTTGTTTCTACCTCTACACCATTGCTTTAGACTTTCTCCTTCCAGTTGCCTACTCTGGCCTGTGACTCTCTGTGGGAAATCCATCAAAGTAAGATGCACCTAATATTTATGCTGCAGAATCTGGCAGCTATTCCTTCTTTGCACCCGTTTTAATCTAAAGCCTACTATCAGAGCCTATAAGACAACTCCACAAGCCCACACTCTGGTCAAGGATCCACTGTAGATCAACCATCTCGTCTCACTTTCTCCATGCTATTGCTGCTTGACTTCTGCCCTCAGGATGAACATAGTAATGGGAATGACAGATGGAGTAATGAATCATGTTAATTAGAACAGGTGGGGGGGGGTTGATTCAGTGTGTGAATTCACACATTATGTCAAGCCATGACTTATTTAACTATGGTTTATTGAGTAATATGACATGTTTGTTATATATATAACATGATATAGGATTTGCAAATGTTGTGTTTACACAGTACACCAAACCAAAGCAAAACAACCACTGTATGGTTTAGTGTAAGGGATTGAAGAAGGTATCGGATTCTCAAAGCCTATGACAAATGCAATTAACATAATTTGGATTGCAAAGTTTCTTCCCCATTTTAAGACACTTCAGTTCTAGCAGTTCCTTTTCAGATCAGTGTCTTAGTTTAAGCTCTGATGCGGCCATGGCACTAAAACATAGAGGTAGTCCCAGTGGTGGGATTCAAAAGTTCCCACCACCAGTTCTGTGGGCGTGGCTTTGTGGGCGTGGCTGCAGGGGTGGGATCGTGTGACTTGCGCAACTCGCATGACTCATGTGACCATGCACACGCCAAACACGATCCTCTCTCTGTCTCACCAAGGAGAACAATTGCAAGAACACAGGAGTTCTAGAAGGCAAATCTTTTGTTGCTTTGGAGCAGAGGTCTCCAAACTTGACAGCTTTAAGATTTGTGGACTTTGACTTGTGGAGTTGAAGTTCACAAGTCTTAAATCTGGCTGGAGAATTCTGGGAGTCCACAAGTCTTAAAGTTGCTAAGTTTGGGGACCCCTGCTTTGGAGGAACAGACCTCAAAACTGGCAGAAACTGGCAGGCTCAACATGCTGACATTTGCTTGCATTCTCGCCAGATTTGAAGTCCGTTCCTCCAGCACACAAGAGGATTTCTCCTCCCTGCAGGTCATTATCTACTTGTAGATGGAGTGATTCAGAAGGCATAGAAAACTGGAAAATTAATCCCAGGGGAAAGGACTTCAAACCCATCATCCCTCTACTTGTAAGTTACTTCCCCATTAGCTTTCTGGAGAAGCCACCAAAGAAGATTGTAAATGGCGATCCCATGATCACACTTAATGACCAGTCATACATTTGAACAGCCAAGCGCCCCGAAATGTTATCATGTGACTTTGGAGGTGCCAACAAGATGTTTTAGGGTGGCTGAAAGTGTTTTATAGGCTATAAAGCGTTCTTTCCAAGGCTATCATGATTGAAAATGTTCATTAAATGACCGGTCATTATCTACTTGTAGATGGAGTGATTCAGAAGGCATAGAAAACTGGAAAATAAATATGAGCTTCCTTTTTTGCAAAAGCTGTGTATTCTGTGTATCATGAAGTCCTGTCCTGTAAGAAGTATTGGGCATAAAAAGGATGAAAGCTCCCATATCTTAAATCTGGGTTTGGCAATGAAATGATGTCAAAGCCCCTAGATATCTTCCCAAGAGAGTGGTAGGCTTGCAACATTCTCATCTTCATATATTCCCCCAGTTGGGTTTTGACTCAAAGCAAAGCAAATGAACTGTGGGCCAGCTAGCCCCAAAGTGATCCTTGTGTTTTTTTTAATTACTCTTGGTTTATGCTCAAGAGGACCAGGAGAATGATCAGAGAGAGGATAGGGAGGGGTTCAATAAATTCCAGAGGAGAAACAAAAATGTCTGGAAAATCTGGGATGTAGAAATCAGCAGAGAATGAAGACGATATCCAGCGAAGGAGGAAAAAAATCCACATACTTCTATATACAAACAGAGAGCCTTTATATACAGAGAAAGGCTATCCCAACATTTTGTGGCTGGCCCTGCCCTTCCTGGCTGCCAATCTGTGGTAGCACAGTATTCAGCCAGCTTGTTCAATTTTCCAAATATGTTCAAGATCTCCCAGAATCTGGAGACCTCTGCCCTTGATACAGTAGTTAAATGAAAAGGAGGATTTCCTGCTGCACTTTTTAAACCTGCAGACCCAGCAAAGGCTTTCTTGGTATCTGATTATTTTTAACTAAGAGAATGGTTGTCAGTTTTAACAGTTGTTCCTCTGTCCAAAAAGTGCAGAAATTGATAGGTGCCAGATTTGATATGTGCAGCAGATTATGGTCATCTTATTTTAATTGACTGGCAACCTATAGCAACAGTAGGTTCTGAGTCCTTCTGAAAGCAGTCTCATCTGCAGGCAGGGAAAATTGGCTTATAAACTGACTGTATCTTCTAAACTCAGTTAACTGACTTTTTATTCCATTAAACTGATTAGTTATATCATGGAAATTATTGGGACCATATACACTGATGTTTGGGAGTCATTTGTACCAACCCACCCCTCTATATTGCTTTAAGCTAAAGGACTTTTTTTTCCTCCAGTAAAAAAGATTATCAAGTGATTTCCAAGAATCAAAAGATGTGAACTGTGTGGTATTGATAAGATAGCTGAAGATGTTCGAATCAAAAAAATATTCTTCTACCTTGTTAAAAAAAAAAATAAACCTTTTGAAATTGACAAGGAATGGCATGCCACATTGCTACTGGATTTATCTTTGTAGAAAAAGTCTGTAGAGATTCTCAGTCATCCAGGTCCTGGATGTCCCAAAGGTGCTTTTTCAGGAGGCAACTGGACTTTCTTTGAAGACATTTCGCTTCTCATCCAAGAAGATGAGAAATGTCTTTGAAGACATTTCGCTTCTCATCCAAGAAGCTTCTTCAGCTCTGACAGGACAATGGGGAATGAATTTTCTCATATCTCTCACCATTCCAGATTTGGGCCTGTCTCATCAGGGCCTTCCATTCCCCACTGTAGAAGTAAATTAGGTTAAGGGGAGAATCGGGGCCCTGCAATGTGTGGAGTTTGTTTGTTCGCCCAACTGTTGCATTCTACGAACCATGGTTAAAATCATAATGATTTAACACAATATGCTACCTTACATCAATCAAATCCTCAGAACTGAGCAGAAGTTTGGACTGGCAACATCTCATATCTAACTAAAACATTCCATCCACTGTGGCACAATCAGCAATCAGCACTTTAGTTGGCACTGATGATTATTAATGTTATGCAAAATCAAGCATTCTTTACAGTCAGTCAAGTAAGCAACTCTGCCATCTGCCTCCTGAATTGCTTGCATATCTTTCTTTCATCACATTACATTGCCCTGATCAATGCTCCACCATGTATCATGAAGCCACTTGTAGAGTTGTAATTGCAGGAATGTTCCAATCTCGGATGGCAAACCTCAGATAAAGAATGTTTCCAAGCAAATACAACTCAGGTAAACAAAGTCACTAATCTAAAGGAGGATTAGAGAGAGGAAGTAAACATATGTTAGACTTTAACTAGAGATAATTAATTGTATGGATTACTGTGCTAAACAGTAACGAAAGTTAAGCAGTAACAAGTTAACCAATGATGGAGGATAATTAAAAATGTGTATAAATGCAAGACTAGACTCCAATAAAGATCATCATGATTCAGTTGTTCATGATCAAACAACTCGACTGCCTCATCATTACAACAGCCACTCCCCATCAGCCCCATTTGGCAATGGCTAGTGATCAAGAAGGATGGGACTTCTAGTCCAAAGTCATTCAAGAGTGCCATATAGATTTTCCACTCGGATCCATCATCTCTGGTTTGGTTCCTAGGAGGGTCCCACAGCTAGCATTTCCCGATGAGGAGAGATGTTCTTTCACATGCTCTGGTGTGCAAGCTGAAATCCTTCATGTTTCCTGCAGCCTTTCCAGCACCAGCCTACATGAATTAGGAGCCCTTGAGATGTTCCTATCCAATTAGTGCCTTCTACAGGGACTAAGCTTTCTAATCTGAGCACCAGGCCTGTGGGTCTTTTCCACTTAGCCAATAAATCTGTGACTTCCAGGGGAATAAGAATTGGCAACTCAGGCCCCCATAATTGGTAGATTGGCCTGTGAGCCGAATAAAGCATAAATGTGGAAGACAGCATTGTCCCCAATACGAACCCTGTCTGCTCAAGAAGAACCCTCTAACCCTGCAATCTCCAACATGGCACTAACATAGCAAAAGACTTCTGGATTTTCTTCTTGTTTTCTTTAATTAAAATAATAATAATAATAAGCTAGCATTCAGAGCAGCAGCCTCCTGCATTATGTTTAGCTCCAGGAAAGCCTCTATGCTCCATAGAGAGGTCTCACAAGGTTTCTTAGAAAATATGGACAGCTACAAACTAGAATTTTATAACGGGCATCCACCTGCCCAGAATAAAGGTAACAAGACTGGTAGTGGGTTCTTAAGGCTGAGAGTGAAAGTGACAAGTAGAATTCTGGGAACTTGCTACCATTTCATGAATGGACAAACCATCCTAAATAAAAGAAAAAAGAAAAATAAAAGAAACAATAGAACAGGTGTTGTAATGACGAGGCAGCCGAGTTGCTTGATCATGAACAACTGAATCATGATGATCTTTATTGGAGTCTAGTCTTGCATTTATACACATTTTTAATTATCCTCCATCATTGGTTAACTTTGGTTACTGCTTAACTTTCGTTACTGTTTAGCACAGTAATTAATTATCTCTAGTTAAAGTCTAACATGTTTACTTCCTCTCTCTAATCCTCCTTTAGATTAGTGACTTTGTTTACCTGAGTTGTATTTGCTTGGAAACATTCTTTATCTGAGGTTTGCCATCCGAGATTGGAACATTCCTGCAATTACAACTCTACAGACAGGGACGGTAGGCATGTTGGTGCGCTTATGCACGCCCCCTACAGACCTCCTAGGAAAGGGGTGAGGTCAATAGTAGAGAGTCTAAGATCATCCCAGTGATCATGTCACAAGAATGTCCACTGCATACTTTTCAAATTCTTTAGCGTGCTCACCGGCTCTAACAGACGAATGCAACTCTGAACATGTAACACCAACGTCTTTCCAGCCAGGAACCACAACACATTTTTTACAAAGGTGATCAAACTGGAACTTTCTAGATCGACTTTTTAAAATCTGCTGATACAGCCTTTTGATGGTGAAATTGATAGGAATGCTTGCCTTCCACATACTGAAAAGCAGCTTTCGCACAAGGCAGAATTCTGACACTCAGTAAAGGAAGTTAACCGAAGGTTATTATTGGCCACCTTCTGTTTTAGCTGGCTGGAATGTGCTTATATGTCTATGGAGATTCTCAGTCATCTACCCAGGCCATGGTTGTCCCAAAGGCGCTTTTTCAAGAGTCAAGCTGGACTTTCTGGTTTTTCTTTGAAGATGTGTCATGCCCATGTTGGAGTCTGATTCCAAGGGGGAGGTCAAACAGCTGACAGGAAGTGGGAATGTGGCTCCGGTGGCTGTGGAAGAAACTGAGGAAGGGCACAGTCTGTCTGGGCATTCAGAGGAAGACCCAGGCCCACCCCCTCTTCATCCTAGGGCACACAGGGAAGAACGGATAAGCAGGGGTGGGATTCTACCAGTTCGCACCTATTCGCTAGAACCGGTTGTTAGCATTCTAAGCAGTTCGGAGAACCAGTTGTTAGAAGAAATTACTGGTCTAATCCCGTAAGGAAGGCAGGAAGGAAACATTCTGGTGTTGCTTACAGAAACTGCCTCTCCGTTAACCCTTATTACATTCTTGGTAGGACTAGACTTCCTGTCTCAGGAACTTCTCTGG